TTAACAATTGAGAAGCCTCTCTAGTGTCGTTGTTACTGTCACTACCCGATCTGCAGTGCGCATGTGCGAGACATGGATGTAGGACCTATAATAAGAACTGGGTTGCGTTCCAATAGTCCATTTAGCTTAGGAACCATAACCAAGTGAAATGACCCGGAAGTACGTCAGTGGCAGCCATGTTAAGGGCCGTTCCAATTCTCCAAATGAAAGGAAAGGAGGTTTCACACTTCCTTTATAACCACCTTTAGCTTGGGAACCACTGGACCTCCCAAAGGAGAGGAGAAAATGCTGCCCCACAATGCATTGCAGCCGCAGCATTTGCCGTCACACAACAGTCGGCCGTTCACGGAAACAACCGATTATGACCGAGAAATGATATCATGAAAGTTACGGTGCTTATTAAGCTTTTTAAAACGTATGTGGTAAACTATGTCCAGGACAAGGTATTTGGACATTTTGGAAGATTCATAGCTAACCACACTGAAGATTATGGATGATATCATATTTTTAATATCTAACATCACCAGAAATCATAATTTAAGGGGTCATTTCTCAACATTTTCTTTCGGGGGAGCATCCCCCCGGACCACCCTAGTATTGTTTGGTCACCATTTCCATAGCCCCACCAAAAATATTTTCCACCAGCCGCCACTGGCAGCAGTTATATCAACCGAAAAACGTAGGACTTGTGGTATTAGTGGAGTACTTTACCATTGTGTTACAGGTACTTGAACTGCAGTAAAAGATCCCCACCGACTCTCTCCCCACACACACACACACACACACACACACACACAAATTAGATTAAGCTCCCCCTTTAGCATTAGCTTTTAGAATTTTCTAGAAACGTATGACTGATTGATTGAAAAGTTTATTAACAGCTTGTATATTGGGTACAGTACAGTACAGCTCAAAACATACAATTGTTAAGGGGATGCAGACCAGAGAAAGACTTTCGTCTTGTTTACATCAGGGTCCCCCATTTCCAATTCATCATATCGGTTCGACTGTTTAAGTAATGCTAACACTAGCCATCTTGGTAACGTTATATGAATCATGTGAACAACTAAAAGCCACCTAGCAAACAGCTGAGTGTAGGTCAGATATAAGAAGCCAATGTTGAAAAGGAATTTTTAACTTGGATTTCCCATAAACAAAAGTAAGCAGGTTAGCTGCAGTTAGTCTGCTGGGATTTGGTTAACTACTAGATCACAATTGCTTGTAAAATAAAGTTTTACCAATACAGGATATAATTATAGCAGGTTAACTCTAGGAGAGGAGGTGTACAAATGGGCACAGTTATTATGGGTGGAAGCCTCCAGCTTCAAGGTATACTCGACATGTTGACAGGTAGTCACCGGGGAGATGAGCAAACTCATTACTGTTTCATTTACAGCAGTCGCTTTATAACTCCTACTAAGTCGCTATTTTTAAGTGTTACTAACATATGCCAAATTACAGTGTTTTGACAGCTCATTGTATGTTTCAACGTCTGTTCTAATAGGTGTATGGTTTTACGAAGAAGCAAGACCCTGTTATTTTTTCAGAGTATTCTAAGGGTTTGGCGTGACATGGTCTCCTTCCAAAACGACACGATGCTAAGTAGCAAGCGACCTAGCTTATTAGATTCCGTTGACTCCAGCGGTGCTGTCCTATTTGTTTGAAGACCGGCATGCTGCCTGGTATAACATGAGGACACAGTAGTGGGTTTTTCCTACCAGTTGTCTCTATGGTTCAGTTGTAGATTAGCCCGAATAAGGATGAATTCACGTTAGCTCCGATCCTTCGAGTATTCGTAGCCGTCATTCAGCTAGCTAATTAGCTTGGCTTGGAGTTATGTCGTCATGCGTAGGCGCCGGTGTGGATTCATTCGTTTCCGGCGTCAGATCCATGCCAAGGCCCTTTCTCACTTCTCTTATTTTTCATTTCCTCGCTCCTCGGTCTCGGTCTCACCGGAAGTTGATTTGTCTGCGCCATCTTGAGTAGCGTCTGGTAGCATCCCAATGGCCTTATTTTTGCCGGAGGAGCGAGGAGCGAGGAGCGATAATAGAGGAGCTATAATCGAGGAACCACCAGACCATCCTTCGATGAAATCCTCAAACACTCACCCCGCCCTCTTACAGTGTATCGCTCACTGATTGGACGATGCAGTGCCTGCACTGATCTAATGCTTCTTAACATGAGAGCAGTTTCTCAGCGGAGTGAAGAAAACACATGAACCTCACGGGAGTCACTCCTCAGTTTATACCGTGTTTTGTTTCAATTCATGTATCATTTAGTTACAAATATGTGATATATTTGAACAACAAAGTGGTCAAAAATCATTTTATTCATTTTTTGGAAACATTTTCATAATCTCTTTTTTCGTTTTACATTTTCATTTATTGTCATTTCCATTCAGTCAGTCATTAAGTGCTATTAAAATGTTAATGTGCTACATATCCACACAAACAAACAAAGTGTGCAATCCAATGAATGTTAATCTAACTGGGTTTTGATAGATAACATATCTCTTTTTCTTCTCTCAATTATTTTATTTCTATTGTGCACTCTAATCAATATTAATCAAACTATTGTTCGTTTATACATTTTAAGAATGGCGTTTATCTTTTTTGAGAATTAGTTCTTATTTAATTTTATTTATTTGGGTCTACAACAGATGATACAAATGTTTGTGTCAGTAAATGTGCACTAACAGAGGCGGGGGTGTTTGTGGAAACAACGGGGACAGAGCTGCTGTCAGACGATCAGCTGTGCAGCGTCATCAAACGGACGTCGCTTCACGTGACGCTCCGGAGGAAAGGACGTCCCATTGCTCTTAAAACTCATTTCCCTGCTTCTCGTGGTTTCCTTGCGTCTCTCCATGCTTCCCTGGTGGGAGGGACTAGTCGCAGGGAAACGACGCAAGTGAGGGAAGCAAGGATTTCATTTAACCGAAGTGAGAAGGACCCCAAGCCGGTGTCAGTAGAGGTTTCTCAATTCTCTAATTTCCCCTCCTCGACTCCTCGACTCCTCCGCTCGCATCTCCTGTGCGGGACTAAGTCTTGAGGATAGGAGTCGAGGAGGGGAGTCGAGGAGGGTACATTTAACAATTGAGAAGCCTCTCTAGTTGTCGTTGTTACTGTCACTACCCGATCTGCAGTGCGCATGTGCGAGACATGGATGTAGGACCTATAATAAGAACTGGGTTGCGTTCCAATAGTCCATTTAGCTTAGGAACCATAACCAAGTGAAATGACCCGGAAGTACGTCAGTGGCAGCCATGTTAAGGGCCGTTCCAATTCTCCAAATGAAAGGAAAGGAGGTTTCACACTTCCTTTATAACCACCTTTAGCTTGGGAACCACTGGACCTCCCAAAGGAGAGGAGAAAATGCTGCCCCACAATGCATTGCAGCCGCAGCATTTGCCGTCACACAACAGTCGGCCGTTCACGGAAACAACCGATTATGACCGAGAAATGATATCATGAAAGTTACGGTGCTTATTAAGCTTTTTAAAACGTATGTGGTAAGTTGCCAAAGTGCTTTGTTTTGAACGTTCATCAGTATTATAATCAAAAAGAGAAATATGAACGTTAGTTTTTACTGAAATGATCAAATAAAGTCAACATTTCACTGAGCTGTGTGGGGTTTGTTCAACTTTTAAAATATGTTTGAATGGTGATATACACAGTGATAGGTGTTAAGGACTAACGTTTATAATAAATACATGTGTATTGATTTTAAGATATTTTCATACAATCATACGTATTGGGATCATTTGTATTAATGTGGACCGGAGGGAGAGGGTGACGAGCATAAGTTTCACTTTCCTTTTTTATTTCAATTCCAACTTTGGTCCTGAAGAATATGTTTCTCTGTTGTCCACGTTCATAAAGCATAAAGCAACAGCATCAGAGCACGGTGCAGAGTCTCTAGATGAGTTTACAGTAGTCCCTCGTTCTTATTAAACATCCATGTTGTAGTCCGCTGTATAGAAAACTGTAGTTTCCATAGTTTCCCCACAGCAGCAGACGCACATTCATGACGTCCGCTGGCGCATCATAAACAGGTTGGATAGTGAAAGTGCATTCGGATTCTCTAAAGTACCGCAGTCTCTTCTCCTAAGTCCTTTTGAATTCTCCTATCCACTATCCCTTAACCCTGTGACGTTTCACTCAGAGGTCAAGGAATAGGAGATAGGGTTAGAATTTAGGAGCTGATTTTTGGATTATCGGAACCCAACCACGGTGTGAGAAGTCTTTTTTAGCTGTTCTGTCGTCATTTCCTGCGATCTTCTTCATAAAGTCAGTCAAAATGAATGAATGGGCGTTTCTTTGACTATTTATAGGCAAATATGGGCGTTACGTGAAGCCCGCAAAAGCTGCACCGCATTTCGAGTCGATTGTGATTTATAAAGGGAAACCGGCGTAGGAAGTGCTGTACGCACTTTCCTCGCCGGTACGCAATGTTTGGTGAATCGGAAAATGTCGGAACATTTCTGTACCTATTTTTTGGATTTCTACTACGTAAGCAACCTTCCCACGTGAATCCTAGGCATGGCGTTATAAATGAGGCCCCAGATCAGCTGCTGGGTCTGACGGAGACACGCAGCTCTGCATGATCACCTGAAGCCCCGCCCTCTGTTTAGCGAGCTGAATACGCAAAATGCGTATATGAAGTGTCATGAACGCAATAAATCATACCTTCGTGGGGGCGCGCTCATGTGATTGGCTTAGAATGAAGGAGACATCTGATTGGCTATAGATAGAAACAATTACAAGTACGAATCGGGTGAGCGTCAGGGGAGTCTCAAAAAACCCACACACGAATGCACAGCGATCCGTGCACAGAAAGCTGTTTGTGTTTGCAGGTTCAGAGGATTTAAACGGAAAACAAATATGTGAGGATCAAAAATACATATGTAAAACTTTTTTCTGTATTTTATTTACATGTATATGAAACGGAACACATTTGTGTGTGCATTGAAAAACACAAGTGTGGATCCGGAAATACAAGTGTGAATCATTTTGCGGATCATGAAATACAAGTGTGAATTCCTTCTGTGAGCATGTGTTCTGAGCCCATACAATTACGTCACTTCCGCCGATCTAGCACTAACCCCACAACGGACCTAACGAACCATCATTCAAAATCTGAAACCATGGGGGCCGACAGGTAAACAATGTCCTTACCTTTTTAATTTGACTGATTCATTTAAATGTACAATTGTCTCTGTGACGGCCACGTCTCCTGGTGGATGGTGTCTGTGATCATTTAGATCTAATTAGCTAGCTTTGATCTGTTTGAGCTAGTTTCTGCATTTACGTTAGCTAATTTAGCTTCTGTGCTGTAACTGTACATCTTGTACCCGAGACAGTAAATATGAGTTGATTTAAATTACATAGAAACACGGTTAAACTGTCAGTTTAGTATACAACAAATACAATTGTTCTTTTAATAGTGGCTAATCTCTCCACAGTTCTGTATTGATTCTCTTATCGTTTTTTGTCTAGCATGTTAGCTGTTAGCTTTACCAACCTAACTGAATGTGATTCCTAACGGGAATTCCACCTCAGATTGCCTGCGTGGATTATAGATGGATTACTAATAACGACTCTCCAGTAAATGTACTTCCTAAATTAATTAAATGAACAATGTACTATGCTCCATTTAAAAGAATTTGATATTAAGCTGTTTGTTACCAAATGCGTTATAGTTTCTAATTGTCCGCCTTCTTCAGGAGTTCAGCATACTTCTGATCCACTAAACAACACTTTTATGTACTTACTAATTGTTCCCTGATTAACAGGGTGCTTGTGTAAAGTAAAATATGACTAAATCTGAATATAGTATATAGTATTTGTCATATTCTATTCTATTTTAATGTGTAGAGCTAAAGGTTTCCACATGATCTTTCTGTAGGGAGGATCTGACTTGGTTTTGGCCGATAACAACATCCACTAGTGTTTATTCAGTCCTTGAGCTTTGTATAATATCTGAAGATGTTTAACTAATCAGGAATGGTTTAAGATGCAGTTTGGAGCACAGCACAAACAGAGTCTATAAGGCCATTACACAGTCCATCCATCTATTAGCTTTACCGCTAATCGTTAGAGGTCCTACTTCTTATAATATACCACATCTGCTAACAGCTAATAGGCATCCATATCAACATTACTCCAATAATATGATGTATATTACAATCAAACACTGAAAAATGTGGCCCTATGAGTGCTTTTCATCTTGATACTATTATATACATGTACATCATGTGTGCTTCTTTCATCACTGCCATGCGTTGTAACCCCCCACCCTGCTCACCTGTCCCTCTTCTTGTTCCAGGTGAGGCGGTGAATGGCAGCCAGATGCCGGTCTGCTCCGAGAACCGTCTGCGTTGGGACCTGAGCACCAAGCAGATCCAGCAGCTCACCGACAAACTCATTGCCAACACCAAGGAGGTGTACGATGGCGTGGGAGCGCTGGACATCGACAGCGTCACCGTCGAGAACACGCTCAAGGCCCTCGCTGACGTGGAGGTGGAGTACACCGGTCAGTGTCCACCAATCGGCAGCGTTTCTCTCCTGATGCTAAAGATCATGTGTACAGATGATGGTCATCTCTTTTCATATCCAAAAAGCTAAAGTTATTTAGAATATAGTTCTAAATAAGAACTGACCGTTATTTCAAATTCAAGGATTAATGTAAACCTGTGTCCTGATATAAGGGCAACAATAGCAGGTGAAAGTATCAACAATATCTCTATTTAAAAACCAAAACTTCCACTGAAATCTTTAGTAACTAACTACAACAAATATGCAGCTGGGAGCAAACCCAAATCCCTAAATAGCTGCTCACTGTAAATTTGAAAAGCAGGATGAAATAGCACATTTCTTCATGACTATTTTTAGTGCCAGTTTAATCCATATTAGGTGCTCCAGTGAGTGTTAGTGGCAGCAGGACAGTGTGTGTGGGATTATGTCAGAAGCGGGGAGTGTGTGCACATGATATTGAATACAAATGCGGCCCTGGGAAACGGTGTGCCTCCCTGAGTTACTTTTAAATGTTTTTAGAAAACAATTGAGTTCTGTGGCTCAGAGGAAGAACATATAACAGGCTCTGATACACACACACACACACACACAATACTAGGTAGTAGATACATTCACTGTTGGTCTGAACTAGAAGACTACCACCTGATTTATTCTAAAAGACAGCAGTTAATCGGCAACAGAGCAAGACAAACAAATATTTGATTTATATTTATTATTATTATTTAAATTGACCCCCCCCCCCCCCAGATATTTTTGCAGCTTGTACTGTCAATTTGACGATGAACCTGACTTTAAAGCGGTCAAACACAGCATGACCCTGAGAGCAGTCAGGGCATGAGTCCATTGTGAGCTCTGCAATGAAGCTCTGAGTCAGCAGAATGAGATGGTAAAGACTCGTCAGCAGTTTGTAGAGAAAGCAGCTGAACCAGCTGTGCAGAGACAATAAAGATGGCGAGTTTGTGTGGAGGCAGCTGAAAACACCTCCTTGTTCCATATTTATGGTAGCCCTCTAAATTAACCAGGTAAATTAAAAAGTAAATGAAAATACATTTACTTTTGCAAATATATGAGATTCAGAAATTCAAAATGTCCAAGTTGAAATAATGACTTGCTATATAGAATTTACAAGATACCACATCGACATTATACGATGGGGAAATGATAATGGAGACTTTAAAATGAAGTTCCACCTAGGTATGTTATTTAAGCAAATATTAGAATGGAATAATCCAATCAGCATTTGAATCTTCACATACTTGTATGGGTATTTTATGATCAAATAAATATGAAAATGGAAAGCTGTTTAATCTTAAATATTGAATGTACATCATTTTCAATTTGTCAATATTTGGCTTAAAATATAAATGCAATTCTCAAACTATTTAAGAGGTTCAAGTTAAACTATATTGTCTAACCAAGTGGAATATTGTTTCCTTGGCCTTTTCTGCAGCCATACAAATAAAAAAACTTTCTACATACTAAAAACATCCAAAGGTTTTGAAACTAAATGATACTAGCAATTGACATTTCATGAACCTGCTGTACAGTGGACAACATCCAAACGGATTGTGACGTTGCTGTTTTTTCTCTCCCGGCCTCAGTCCAGAGGAACATGTTGGACTTCCCACAGCACGTCTCTTCCTGTAAGGAGGTCCGAACAGCGAGCACCGAGGCCGACAAGCGTCTGTCTGAGTTCGACGTGGAGATGAGCATGAGGGAGGGCGTGTACCTGAGGATTGTTGCTCTGGAGGTGAGCTGACGGAGAGATGTCCAATGCAGACAGATAGATGAATGAATGGAGGCATAATCAATTAAATATAGGTTGATGGGTTTGTCATTTCCTTTAGTTTTTTCCATATTTTGTACCTTTTCCATTTGACATTTAGCGTCTGCTCATAACCAACCATGAAACACTATCACATGTACTCTAAAGTAAACTCCCATCCCAAAAATCCTAAACACGAAGTGATGTTGAAGCCAGGAGCATTTATTGATCTGCCTGTCTGTCTGTTATGAGTGGACCCTTAAAAATGTGAAACATCTTAGACTTTCTTTAAATTTGGTTTTACATTATTGGACTTCATTTGAACAATAAACTGTTGATCTAACAGCTACAATTTGTTACAAACGTGCACCAAGTTAAACATGGGACAACAGGAAATACTGGGTGTGGTTGTTGCTTTGTTTTAGAGAATATATTTGTGACATGGAGGCAAAAATCCTAGGTCCGACCGGCCCACTTCGGTACCGGCCCACCGGGAAAACTTTTCCCGTTTAGTTCCGCTAGTACCCCTTATGCTGCGTTCACACCGGACGCGATGCGAATATTCGCTTCGCTCTAAACGCTCGAGTTTCACCGCGGCTTGCAGTTTGTTATATCGCGTCATTCAAAACAGACATACCGTTGAGGCGCCGCGCCGTTGACGGACAGTTGAGGTTGTTTACACTTCCATGCAAGATCGTTTTGGTTATTTCTGTCCTTGACTATGGAGGATATAACAACTATTGCTGCTTTGTACCTTCTGTGGAAGTGTATCGTAAAAAATTGAACTCTCGCGTTTGACGCGGCCCCCTTCAATCGCGTGATTCGCGCCGCGTCCACCGCTTCATGCTCGCCGTCGGAGTGAATTCGCGTCTCTGCATTGACTCTACATGTAATCGCGCCGCCCCCAAACATCGCGGAACTTTTACCCCCATTTTTAGTGCCTGCTAGAGAGGTGGTACTATCCTGGTACCAAAAAAGTACCAATTTCTATTGGCTGGGCGAATTGCAAACCACGGCCCGTAAAACTCTGAAAAGTTTTGTGAAGCCGCCATTGTATTTGCTGGCATTAGCATTATTAGCATTAGCCCCTCACACCAACAGAGAGAGAATGGCAACACAAAAAAAAACATGGGAGCGGTAGAGTGATGAGGAGGTGTCGGCGTTCTGGCAATTTACTCGGAAGGCTTCTACTGAAGCCAGTCCCCACTTCGGGTGGCAGTATACGCCGTGAAGTGGTTTGCGGCCTGCCAGTTAACCCAGAGCAGAAGAAGAAGAAGAAGTGACGTCAGCGGCTTCATTTGCCTAATCCTCCCTCAGGGACTTATTCCGGTGTGAACGCGATCTGTACTTAGTGCCCTGGGGTACTAAGTGCTGGCACTAAGTACGGCAAAGTACTTGGTATGAAAGCGGCTAAGGGTATCATAATCTGGCATAAAATAGCTATATGCAACGTGTGTGAAGCAGAAATCCTGCTGCTCCACCCGCTGTGACGGACCGGTGAGCGGAGCAACACACACGCTATTTTATCTATCTGTCGGCGGCGGTTAAAATAGAATCGCCCCGTCAAAATTGAAATCCCCTATTAATGTAATGATTATAGGTCCGGGCCCGTATAGGTCGGCGCCTGGGTCCGGATCCGGACCGCAGTCCGCCTGTTACTGAACTATGCTCTATGCCTTTCAGACTTCTCAAGAGTTATTTTGAATGTAGGACTACATTACGGAGCTACTTGCATCACATCGCTTACATTTATTCACATGGCACTCATCAGTTGAGTTAAGCTACTTTTGTACACGTGCGAAATTGCAATACCTAAAGCTTATCAAAAATCTTAACTTCACATCAAGGTCCAAGAAAAGGACAATTTCTCACATATTATTATTATATTATTACATCACCTTAATCAAAATAAGTGTATTCACTCTTTTTTACAGTCAGTGAGATGACTGGCATGGAGTCCACCATACAGGTGTATGCTGGAGTGTACCCACTTAGGTTCACTCTAATAGAGTCATTGAAATGTTCATCACTCAGTCTTGTTCTGTATTTAGATTTCATGACATTCATGTCAGAAAAAGCTGCTTCACAAAGGCCTGTAGAGCCAAATAAAGCAGACATGTTCAGTGCTGCTTGGTGATGTTCTTATAGTTTTCTGGGTCTACAAGGCTCCAGAAATGTTGTGAGTTTTGCTGAGACTTAAGCTGAACATGATTTTGGAGATTTATAACCTCCATCTCCATCTCCACAGGATTGACACTGAACAGTTCAGCCATCTTCTTCGTCTTGACATGAAATTATAAACCATAATAGATCAATTGTATAGCTCTAGCCTCCCTATATCTGTGTGTGAAATTGTTCCATCCTCAAAAACTAATGCTTCTGCAGTCTAGCTGCAGCTTCAAGCAACGGTCTTCTGTTAAAAAAACGGACACTGAATGTCCTGAATGTGGCATCACACACAGGACTTGTTTGTGAGACAGTAAGACAGAGAATATAAGTGTGTACCCACATGCAGTATTTTTGTTTTGATATGCTGTTGTAAATACTCCTGTTGTCTGCTGTGTTCTTACAAACACAAAAATAGTGCTTGTGGGTGCACACTCACATTCTCTGTCTTACTGTTACATAAATCCCATGGATGTATGAGATTAAGTTAGCTTCATTATATCTCAATCAGTGATTAAGTGAATAATAAAGTTTCTATCAGGTTACTACTATCAGCCTGTCACTCATTATATTTAGGGGGGGCGGGGTTTGGAGGAACAGAGAGCAGACAGTGATGGCGGAAGCTTTTTTCCTACTGCCTTCACAAACTTTACACACATATTTATCAACTGAAAATAGCAGGAGGACATTCATACTCTGCAATCCAAGACTTGATTAAATCCTCCAAAAACCTGACATGACGATTACGAGTGTTTTTCAAAAACATAAATCCATTCTATTATGTTGTATTGGAGGGGGGAAGTTAGAATGGTTCTGTAATATCTAAGTTCCTTTTCAGATAAGACGGGATTCTTTCCTAAATGCAGGTAGAAACCATGTTTCGGTAATAGCCATGCTCTCAACGTCAACCCAAACTGATAGAAAGATTGGGACGTTTCTGTCATGAGGCTTCTGGTGACCTGGTTTCTCGTGCCAAGGTGTTTTTGTTTCTGTCTGCAGAAAAAGGTGGATGCCAGCAGCCTCACTGCAGAGTCCAAGCGTTACATGGAGCGTCTGGTCAAACTGGGGAGAAGGAACGGTCTCCACCTGCCCAAAGAGAAACAAGAGGTGACCAATGTTTTTTTTTATCAATTACCTTTTGTTCATGCAGGGAAACTTCACTGAGATCATTACTCTTCCACGAACCCACCCAGGAAAGGGTCAACATTCATATGATGCCAATCTTAATTTGTAACAGATACTTTTTGTTGTTGTGGTTATAAAGCTTTACCACACAGAGTATCCCGTTATAATATTTTTGGATAAAATCCTGTATGATGTAACTCTGATTCTGTTACATTTCTGTAACAGGAGATCAAGACCATCAAAAAGAAGCTGAGCAACCTGTGCATCGATTTCAACAAGAACCTGAACGAGGACACTACCAGTCTGCCCTTCACCAGAGAGGAGCTGGGTGAGTGTTGAGCTTCACACAGTCGGCCTCGTCTTCCTCTCTCTGTGTACTCACACATGTGGTGGTGTTGCTTTCAGGCGGCCTCCCAGAGGACTTCCTCAGCTCTCTGGAGAAGGATGGAGAGAAGCTGAAGGTCACCCTCAAGTATCCTCATTACTTCCCCACCATGAAGAAATGCTACATCCCAGAAACCCGCAAGAAGCTGGAGGAGGCCTTTAACTCCCGCTGCAAAGAGGTGAGACACAAAGTGAAAAAGTTATTGTCTTTGACTTGGCTTGAAGAGGTTTAGATTTTTAAATAGTTTGAGAGTCAGTTTGTGCTGTTTTTTCTTTGCCAGATCGTGATAATCTGAGCGAAGCTCTGATCGCCAGAAGAGTTTTTCATAGTACAGAGCACTTCACAGTCAGTGAAGGGTTAGAGATTACACGTGGGAATACAAAAAAAGATATATATCTATTTTATATAAAGATGTGTGTGTGTTCGTGTTCAGGAGAATTCGGCCATCCTGAAGGAGCTGGTGGAGCTCCGGGCTCAGAAAAGCTCCGTGCTCGGCTTCACCACGCACGCTGACTTTGTCCTGGAGATGAACATGGTCAAAACTGGGAGGAAGGTGGCCGGCTTCCTGGGTGAGTTCACAACCTCAATCACTGAAGTTACACCTGAGAGCTCCTGAGACCTGCGGAGAAACTTGTGTTTGTTCAAATGAAAAGTTAAGGGAGGTGCAGAATAAGGGAAGGTTTCACTGGGAGTGATGTACACCTTGGGTTATCGGTAAGAACACACAAGTTTCTTGGTAACGGTGGATTTCCTTTACTTATGAATATCAGCACAACAGCAATACAGCCATGGAGCAGGTGTAGTGTATGTGTGGTCTATAACAGAGAAATATAAAACTACATTTAGGATCTCTTACTTAAATATATTATACAGTAAACAATAACTTTCCCCTGAATAGTACTTTATTCTAAGGCTACTTAACTGCAAGTTGTAATAAAACCATTACAAATAAAAACATGGAAAATACCGCACAGATAACTCCTTTAACTTACAATTAAACCGGTTAATATGTCATCCAAACATTAGAGATTGCCAACATTGTCAAACATAACAGAGAAAGGTATATAATAATGCTAACATTAGCTTCGGTAGCTTAGCTCAACATGTCAATAACAGCCGGAGTTAGCAAACTCCAATACAACTCAAATGCCGTGAAAGGCTCAATAATATCCCATTCAGTGTGCGTAACATAGACTTACTGTTGGTCAGCGCCGCACAAAACTCACACACCACGTCACCACGATTAGGTCCAAGCTGCTCTCAGTCGACTGACTTTTCCTCCTAACTCTAGCTACGCAGCTTCATGTGCTTGATAGTTGTTGTAATTGTGCGTGCCGCCAACAGAGTGCGCTGGACTAACAGTCAACAGCCTTTCGAACATAGCCGCCCCCAATTGCCGTGTAAATTGGCTTCCATGGAAAGGCCAACTACTCTGATGAGGGATCTGATCCCTTGTTGTCCTCGTCCTGGATCTCTGGGAGGACAATAAGACGAACTATAGGCCAGGTGTAGGTTTTGCCCTGTACCTTCACTTCTGCTGTTCTGATGTGACCATGTGGACCAGGACATATTCTGGTCACTTGCCCAATCTGCCATAATGCTCGTGGAAGCTGTGGGTCGACAAGCAGTACAACCGCTCCTACTTTGATGTCTTCTGTTGGTCTCTGCCACTTGCCTCGAGTTTGAAGGCTAGGCAGATAATGTCTCACGAAGGCAGATCAGAAACGATCAACCAATGTCTGTGAATGTCTCCATCTCCGCTGTCCTAGAAGTCCGGATGCAGGATAAACCACCTGGGGCAGGGAGCTGTCAGCTCGATCCAGGAGCAGGAAGTTAGGGGTCACAGGGTCAACTTCAGCCACGTCGGAAGAAACATACCCTAAGGGTTTTGCATTTAGGATGCTCTCAACTTCAGTAAGAACTGTCATGAGCACTTCACCACTCACCTTTTCAGAGCCAATGGTAGTGTGCAGAGCAGTCTTGATGGAGCAAACTTCTTATTCCCACGCGCCACTGAAGCGTGGTTCTGCTGGTGGGTTAAAGCGAAAACTGACCTGTGGCTTAGCCAGTTGCTGCTGGAGCTCTGGTCACATATTGGCGAACGCTTCCCTGAGCTCCCTTTCTTCCCATCCAGATTGTTATCAGCGCAAAGTTCAAAAGCCAACATCTGTGATGGTATGGGGGTGTGTTAGTGCCCATGGCAACTTGCACATCTGTGAAGGCACTATTAAAGCTGAAAGGCACATAAACGTATTTTCTAGGGATGTCCCTGCTTATTTCAGCAAGACAATACCAAGCCACATTCTGCATGCGTTTCAACAGCGTGGCTCCGCAGTGAAAGAGTGAGGGTACTAGACCGGCCTGCCTGCTGTCCAGACCTGTCTCCATTGAAAATTATGAAGCGCAAAATACGACAACGGAAACCCTGGACTGTTGAGTAACAGTCGTACATCAAGCAAGAATGGGAAATAATTCCACTAACGGTAACAAAGCTCCAACAATTAGTGTCCTCAGTTCCCAAATGCTTAGGAGTGTTGTTAGAAGGAAGGTGATGTAACACGGTGGTAAAACCAGCTTTTTTGGAACGTGTTGCATGTATCAAATAAAAAATGAGTGAATATTTGCCAAAAAACATCAAATGTATCAGTTTGAACATTACTTATCCTGTCTTTGTAGTGTATTCAATTGAATATAGGTCGAAAAGGATTGGCAAATAATTGTATTCTGTTTTTATATTTACGTTTTACACAACGTCCCAACTTAATTGGAATTGTGGTTTGTATTTGATATTAGGGCTGTGCAATTAATCGTATTTTAATCACGATTATGGCTTGCGACGATTATGAAAACAGCATAATTGACAAAATACAATTATTTTGCTGGGTGCGCTTTCGCCCCTCCCTAAAAGCCCACTCGGCCACGTGGGAGTGACATGTGTTGTGAGTGTTCAGCGCGAGCGAAGATGTCAGAACAAGAGCAGCAACTCGTTAAAAAGAAGGGTCAAACTATTTCCACTATTTGCAAGTACTTTGGCTTTCAGGAGTCCGACGTGGAGCAAAATAAAGTACAGTGCAGGATTTGTTACCAGGTTGTGTTGGCACCACACGCTAACACAACCAATCTCTTTAATCAACTGAAATACAACCACAAAGTGCAATACGACCGGGCAGTAATACAACAAAAAGCAGATGCCCGCTCGACTTCATCCACCACATCATCACAGTCATCGATTCAGGACGCATTGTACAGAGCAACGGCCTACGCGACGAGCTCGCAGAGACACAGAGATATTACAGGTGCCATTACATTTCACATCGCTAAAGATATGTGCCCAGTTAGCACTGTTAGCAACCAGGGCTTTAAGCAACTTGTCAACACGTTGGACAAGCGTTACGCGATGCCGTCTCGGTATTATTTCAGCAGGTCTGCGCTGCCTGCGCTATATGACAAATGCCGTGGGGAAGTTGAGAGAGATGTGGCTTCAGCTGACTACTTTGCTACCACAACAGACCTATGGTCTAGCTCAGGGGTGCCCAACCAGTCGATCGCGAGATGTGTCTAAAAATAGAACAACAATATTCTGTTTTATCGTTAATGTCCTGTAACATAATCTTCCTGTGCCAGAATATGCACGTGAACGCATCAAAGCTTTGTGATTGGCCGGCGTCACCCCATGTGTCGGGGCGTGGCTGAGGGTCTTCAGTACAGGTGGGAATATTGTCACCTGCCTGCGCTCATCTCTGAAACCAGACCATGTAAACAGGCTGGTGTTTCTTGCAAAAAATCTTTAAGAGATGACATGAGCAGCCCTACCAGCATTTGCCATGGTGGCCTAAACATTTTTATTTGGTCTTAAATTGTAGTTCAACATTTATTTCCTGTTACTTCTGGACCATGACGGTTGGCCAGCCTTCAACGTTTAACTGAGTGGAATATGTTGAATATGTTTTACCAAAATGTTGGCTATATGTTAAGGAGTTTTCAGTAGGTTGTGACAGTGCACTGCATCATATTTGATTTCATTTATTTTGGTCGAATTTATTTTTATTTATCATATTAATAATATATGTTTAGTATGGTTTTGGAAGTGCGCTCCAACATATTTGTTGATCTTGTTTATTGGTAAAATATTATTTGTTTTAAAGTTCAATAAATGGTCAATGAATAATCGTCAAAATAATCGTGATATCAATTATTGACCCAAATAATCGTGATTATGATTTTTGCCATAATCGCACAGCCCTATTTGATATCATATTCATTATGAATATCTTAGGGGTTGGACTGAAGACAACATTTGAAGACATCACTGGGAAATGTTTCACTATTTTCTGACATTCCATCGACCAAATGAGTAACTAGAAAATAACTCACAAAATTATCAAAAGTGAAAATAATTGTTAGTAGCAGCCAAGTTTATCATATTTGGGATTTCTAAAATGGGAAGCAACAGATATTTAGTGAAGCAAAACAGGGATGGTATAAAGTAAACAAAAACATTTATGAATTGTTAGGGAGGAGAGTAAACTGACAAGAAACCCTGTAGCTAAACACGTATAAAGGAATTCTTCTCAATGGAAAAACTGATACGTATGTGGACTCTACAAAACCGTTAGTAGGAGAGATACAAAAATCAGGAAAGAAGACATGCAGAGGTCCTCTCCTGACTGTCTCTGCTGTGTTGTTTCAGAGGAGCTGGCTCGTAAGCTGAAGCCTCTGGGTGTTGAGGAGCGAGCAGTCATCCTCAAACTGAAGGAGAAGGAGTGTCAGAAGAGAGGTCTGCCTTTCACAGGAGAGCTGCACGCCTGGGACACGCGCTACTTCATGACCCAGGTACGAGCTGCACCTGAGATACACACACTTCAGTTATTCTTATATAAGCACGACGCAGAAAGAAAGATTAAGCCAGACTTTTTTTTAATGTTTCATACATTTTTGGATCTACAAATGACACCAAATGTAAGTAATAACCCTTACTTCAAACATGGCCCCAAGATGATACAATCTTATTTAAAATGTATACAATTTAAAATCTTAAAGGTCCCATGTCATGGCCATTTCCACTGATCATAATTCCATTGTTGAGGTCTACTAGAATAGATTTATACTGTGCAATTTTCCAAACTCACATTGGTTCCTCATACAGCATCCTGTAAAGTATGTGTATTGACTCTCTGTCCTACACGGCTTGTTGGAGCTCCTGCCCCCCCCCTCCCTGTGAGCCCAGTGTGCTCTGGTCGCGAAGCTGAGAGGCTCATTCTGCTCACAGCTCCTCACAGCTGTGTGAGCTGCTGCGAGGAGCTGACAGGCTTTGCGTGTCGGCGTCTCGCCGATACAGGAGAACAAGCTAAACTCATCCTGAGCACACAAACACTAACAGCCGAAGTAAAAACAATAATTGTGACTTGATATTGAGTAAGAAAAAGGTTTATAACGCTGTGAGAATGGGTCTGCGGAGAGCATTTCTCCGCCATCCCAACGTAGTCCGAAAAACGTTTACCCATTCAAACAGTCGTGGTAGATACCTTGTTTGTTTTAAACATCATAAATAGACAAACAAAAATGAATACTTACAGGTTGTGTACCCGAACTCCCGCTGGTCCAAAAAAAGTAGGAACAGCATCGTTCTTCAGTGCCCTACGCTGTACATATCCGGCATGCATCGCTGAAAGGTTTGGGAAGCTTTGTTTCGTGAAAGGCTGGCAGAGGGTGCGGCCATAGCTCTGGGCGTGGCTACTGGCCATTCCTACGTCACGATACCCAGGAAGTAAACAATGAGAAATCTCCAACGAGGCATTTTGGGGAGGTCTTTTCTGTGTTAGAGTTTTACTCCCTACAGGGTGTACTTTGAGGGTTTTTGACTCTGCACACCGTTTACATGCATTAAAACCTTCATAACACACAAGGGGACGGGTAATAACCAGAAAAGCATGACATGGGACCTTTTAAAAAAAACAAAATGGGATCATTACAGATTAAAGCATAAAATAGATATCAAAATTAAACAAGACAAACAAATAAATGTCTGAGGTAAAATTGAATTCATTTAAATTTAATTAATACAATTTCCCCTCCTCTTCTTTCTCCTCCTCTGTCCTCTTCCCCCACATATAATACATTTTCTCTGTCACTCTTTCTTTTTTTTTTCTCCCCCCCCCCTTCAGGTGGAGGAGACTCAGTATGCAGTGGATCAGAACCTGCTGAAGGAGTACTTCCCCATGGAGGTGGTGACTCAGGGTCTGCTGGACATCTACCAGGAGCTGCTGGGTCTGACCTTCGAGCTGGTGGGGGGGGCGGCTGTTTGGCACCCGGATGTCACTCTGTACTGTGTGAAGGACCAGAGCAGCGGGCAGGTGGTGGGGCAGTTCTACTTGGACCTCCACCCCAGGTGAGGCTCAGAGCAGATGGCTCTGCTGCCCCTTTCACACCAACGCGGTTCCTGGGCCGGTTCGGAGCTAGAGCCTGTGTCGGCTGTGCGTAGTGATGAAAAGCTGGTTTGAGGGGCCCCCAGTGAATGTTTGCCTAGGGCCCCCACAGACTCTAGAAATGCCACTGCTTACTTTGACCATCCGTTCGCTGTTATTGATCATTGTGGAGAGCAGGCAGACGTTTTGTTTTGTATTATAGCAGCTATCGGATGGAATCAATGCATGGTCTGCACAGGTTGTCATGTCTGACTATCACAAGTAGAATCATAATGAAAAATATGCCGGTAAAATGTGCCTGTCGAAAACGGCTTATGCCACAATAGGATAGCAACAAGTTGTCAAGATAGTCAGTTTAGCTTTGGTTGCTAAGCTAACATCACCCATTTTATACCAGAGACACTTTCATAACAGCGTTGTGATGCCAAACAGCGGGCAGCACTGCAGCGGTCGGTAGATGCCGCTGAAACACATGAATAAACAATGAACCACGGCACTCTGGAGAAAAGTGCAAGGGTTGAGAAGTAGTTATTTAATTTAATCTGGCTTCGTATGATTAAAAGCAACACGATCATCGACCCGACGCAGTTGTGAGCGCCGTTGGGGAGAAAATCAGCGATGTAAACGGCGACGTCATGACGCAGCAGTGGCAGCACCTGTCGGGCTCTCGGCGGTGTGAACAAAATGGGGGCTGAAAAGAAAAAACGGTTCCGAACCAGAAGAGCGCGAGCACGGAGCTAGAACGGGAACCGCGTTGGTGTAAAAGGGGCATGCATGTATTCAGAGAACACCTAAAGGGGAGTTATGAGGGTCTACTTTTCCTCCTCCCTCACTAAATATCCTCTCCTCCACTTAGTTTTTTATTTCGTCCCTCGCAATCTTTCAATGTACTCTCCTCCTCCTCGTCTTTTTACTTTTCCTTTTCGTCCTTCCCCCTCCTCGTCATTTCTCCTCTTCTTTCCTTTATAAATAGTTCCCTCTTCCTTTATGTCGGTTTCCTTTTCCTTCTCCCCTGTTGCTCCTCTACTTTTGACTACAGATGTGTTGATGTGTGTGTGTTCTGTGTCCCTGCAGGGAGGGGAAGTATGGTCACGCTGCATGCTTCGGCCTGCAGCCCGGCTGCCTGCTGCCTGACGGCAGGCGGCAGATGTCGGTGGCGGCTATGGTGGCCAACTTCAGCAAGCCGACGGCTGACGCCCCGTCTCTCCTGCAGCACGACGAGGTGGAGACGTATTTCCACGAGTTCGGACACGTCATGCACCAACTCTGCGCTGAGGTCTGAGGAACCAGTGTTCACCTGTAGTCACCGATGCTACACCTGTCTAGCTTCACATCCAATTAGCTGTTCACGTAAACAGTATGCAGTTATTACAAAGTAGATATTTTGAAGAAACAGCTCAGATGACCACTATGGAGATACCCACACAACACGTTTGAAATCTCTAGCAATAAATCTGTTTGAATGCTCTTTCAGGTCATTTTATTTAGTATGAAGTGTTTTTTTCTATATGGAGAACAATGCTTTACAATGGTTCATCAACACTGACAAATATGACAAGAGATAAAGATAGCTCTGAGCAACAGATCGATAAGAATAGAAGAAATCAGCAAGTAATTGGTCAAATATGTTACAAGCTTAGCATCAACATGTGTGCCATGTGAACCATGCATTTCAACTGTAAACTAGAGAATGCAATTCCTGAAGAAATTGCTAGTGCGAATGCTTTATGCTGAAAAGCTGACGCTAAACTGCTATGCTGAAATGTAATGTTTAAGAAGAAAGTGAAGAATTTAGATTGAAATGATACATGAACACTGGGGGCTTGAATGTGTGATGAGAGAAGAAAAGAAAGTAAAAAGGCTTGGAAAAGCAGCAGAATATTTGAACTGCAAACTTCTGAACTAACTTGATGGCGAATGATCTGTCGTCATGGCAACAGCATTTGATGACATCCCAGAATACGCTTAGATGCGTTGATGTCTGCATCGTTACCAAACCTGTGAAGTTTTGGGGCGTTTGGAGCAGTTGCACTGAAGTTATGGGAAAACCGTGTTTCATTGCGAGCATTGTGTTGCCATGGCAACAGCATTTGAATAAATCTCAAAACTGTCCCGTATATGTCTTCACGGCTGGACTGTTGGCACACATGTGAAGTTTGAGCACTTTTGAAACATTTTCATAGGAGTTAAAGCGACATCATGTTTTATGGCGTTTCCATGGAAACGGCATATGGTGAGATCTCAGATTTGGTGTAGAGCTGTTGAGGCATGGACCGGTGATATACAAGTGAAGATTGGGGGACGATTGGACTTACAGCCACATCATGTTTCATGGCGAGTGGTCTGTCGCCATGGCAACGGCATTTGATGACACCCCATAATACGCTTAGATGCGTTGATGGCTGCATCATTACCAAACCTGTGAAGTTTTGGGCTGTTTGGAGTATTTTCACTGAAGTTATGAGAAAACCGTGTTTTATTACATTACTCTCTCTCTTCTCTTGATCGCCCTCTCCCTCTTCTCTCTCTCTTCGGCATATAATGATGACACCCCATAATTGAGTAGAGCTGTTGAGGGCAGGACCATTAACCTTTATCTGAAGTCTGCTGCTCTGAGCATGTCAGTTGGTTCTATTTCGTCCCTACTGACCGCCAGAGGCGGTGCTAACCCTCTGGAGTCTAAGGGTATTTTCTCGATTTTTAGATGTTTTCTTAAATCACCTTTTTAAATGTATTTCTTCTAACATGGCACCCATGTGTTAAATATCAAAATGTTCAGGGCAATCTCTAGTATTGCTATATATGCATATTACTCACCTTAGAGCACTGTTTGATGAGATAAGTAGCTCAAAAGCTTAAAACGTGACATCTGATTTTCGGAAAATCTTCAAAACTCTTGTGAAAACACAAATGTGATCGAATTGTTTTGGTGTTTTAGATTTGGTTACCAAAGTCTTAGGATTACAAAAGTAGTGAAATATTTGAATTACACTGTATATAAATGTGTTATTCATGTCTAAAATGAAGTTTTATAAATTCGAATTCTGAGTAAAACAGCTGTCAATCACTACTCTCACCACAGCAGGGACTGAGATATATCAGGACTGAATAATGACTTCATAATACATAACAAGGTTCATGTGATGTGTAACAAAAAAAAGAATTGAGCATTAGAACTTTTTTTTTCAACCCACAATTTATTATAATACCAACAATGTATATAAATATAACTGCAAAATCTCACTATTTACAATATTGAACATCAGAACTTTTTTCCTTCAACCAACTATTCATTATATACTGACAAAATGATCCTTCCTCCAGTAGTCCAATACATTGTCCAGTTTCAGCAGGGCCATGTATAGAAGCAGCCCCATGTATTTATAGAAATCCTCTACAGTCAAGTCAGTCCATTTGTAGGTTTTACCCTTTCCCATCTCCTGTGCAGCCCGCTTGTTTGTGTTGGTACAGAGTGTCTGTACTGTTAGTGCACTGAAGAACAGCTTGAACAGGTCAAGGGGTTTGTTTGATACTGTTGAGCTGAGCTGTGGCCCGGGTGTGCGAGCAGGTTGAAACCTGGAGACAGGGGGAGCAGTGTCAGGGTCTTCGCCTGTCTTCCAAGACAGTGGAGCTGGCTGCTGTGCAGGTGGGGGTGATGGTGCATGGGCAGCTGGAGGCTTTGTGGGAGGTACGTGTGCTCTACGAGAGCTCTACGAGACCTCTTTGCTGTCCGGGTTGATGGTGATGGCTGTGGTGGAGCTGAGGTGTATCTTGACCTCGTCGCAGGCAGAGATGGAGGCAGCTGTCGTGATGCTGGTCCGCTAGTCCTTGGTGGGGATGGCAGTGGTGAAGGCCCTTGATCCGCGGTAGATCTCAACATGGTGGCAGGCACAACTGGAGGCTCCTGGATAAATGTCATCTGTGGGCCGCTAGGCCCAGGCAGCTGTGAAACAAATAAAAATGGTGGGACAATAATTATTACGAAGTTCAACACACACACACACACCTATGTATTGTACTCCCCATTACTACATAGCACTCCCCACAAATGGCAGGCACACATATAAATAAATTAAATGTCTCCGTTGTGGGACAAATAAAGGATTATCTCATGCATCTACACATGTAACCTTACTGATACACACCAAAATAACGTTTATACATAAATAAAGTTTACAGAGAGTAAACGTTTACTAATCAAGAGTTTATTTTGTCCAAAGATAAAATTCATGACGAAAAAAATAAATGGCTGATGAATATATTGTTCATTTTCGTGCTCCTCCCCACAAAATGGCAAATGCACATGTAAATAAGTATATGACAGTCTCATCTGTACAGAAGAGTACGGTAAAATAATCACAGACACACATGTAAATAAGTCTATGACAAAGTCTCATCTGTACAGAACAGTATGATCAAATAAAATACATGTCTATAAATGTCTACGTTGTGGGACGAATAAAGGATTCTTTTTATTCATCTACACATGTAACCTTACTTATACATGCCAAAATAACGTTTACACATAAATAACATTTACACAGAGTAAACGTTTACTAATCAAGAGTCTATTTTGTCCCGAGAAAAAGTTCATGAGGGGAAAATAAAAAGGTTGATAAATCCATTGTTCATTTTCGCGGTACTCCTCACAAAATGGCAAATGCACTACAAGTTATATTTACACTTACCCATCCTCAAATGGATCCCTGCTGTCCCTGTATTCTTCTTCTTCAGAAGAGTCAAAGCCTTCAGGTTCTGATGAGCCATCTTCTTCACTGCCGCTCGCGAAAATGAAATCCAGCGCGTCCGCAACGGTAAAGTTCCTTCGAGCCATTTTCTCTATCTTCTTCACAGACTAAAAGACTGAAACTGATGGGAGACACCTGTTATGTTTTTTTTATTGGTGGGTAGGTCCTTAGATTTCTCGAGTGTCCATTGGTCATTTCAGACCGACATGGCTGCCGGCCGGCCGAGATGTCCTTGACTGACACAAATCCACCAATCACACACAGTGTAACGCCGAATCAAGCTGCTTTGAGCGGCAATATTGGCTGCTGTGCCCTGGGTACAGTCTCACAGGAGATACTCTTGAAAAGCTACGATTCTAGCGATTCCGCAGATATCTGAATCATATTTCTACTCCTTACAAGCGAAAATCTATGATTAAATACGTAATCATATCAGCCGGTGTCGTCAGAGGATCTGTTCCGTTCATCTTCTCGCTTCGCGAGAGTACCGTGGCTACATTTTTGTAGCCTACAGCGTTCAGGTTTGAACGTTTGATCTGAGGGATTGCTCTGCAAGCAGCTGGCCGCGTGCAGCTTCGCGACTGACAGTCGGAGCTACGGGTTGTTAACGCGTCCTCCAGGAGCTGTGGCCGGCTGTGCGCTGTGCAGAGCCTCGACAGACAGGTTTGTGTCAACTTGTTGCTGGTGATGGCTGTGTCCCCGCACCCTCTCCCAGCCAAGTTGTCCTGATTGCCGTCTTATTTTTTGTTTGGCTTAGACTTTCTGGTGACGACAGTGTTCCCGCTTCCTCTCCCATACAGTTGCCCTTATGCTCTTTTGAAAGTTCTGCTTGTGGCGTTGTGCCCGAGCAACCATTAGCATTTGAGTCCCAGCTTTGGCTGTGTCCCTCATTCAATTTAGTATGGAAAGCCCAGTGTGTCATATTTTAAACCCGTTTTTCGTTTAGATGCAGAGAGTAAGGTAAGTACTTTCTATTTCTTAGAAGCAAATTATCTGGTCTTAACATTGTGTTCTGACTTGGTTGCTTGATTGTTAGCAGCAGCCGCTTGGCTAACACCTTGCATGTACTGTTCAGCTTCATTATTTAACTCAGCCGGTGAGGGCAGTGCTCTCCCTCCCGCTCCCGGTAAACGCATGGTATGGTTGCAGTAGCGCTATATCGTTGTATTTACTGCTCCTAGTACTAGACTCCTAGCAGTAGGACGATATGCAGAGAACAAGCTTCACTGTGTGTGCTGTGTGCTCTGCATGTGTGGCCATTAAGGAGGATTTCATCCTCCCAATATTATATTATCTAGTGGGCAGCCATTTGGCTGACACTTTTAGGCACTAAGGTTCTAAGCCGTAAGTACTGGCCATAATTACTATTGTAACTACGGTTCCAAGCCGTGTAAGTACTGGCCATAGTCAATACCGTAACTACGGCTCTATGCTGTGTAAGTACTGGCCAAAGTTACTACTGTAACTACGGTTTTAAGCCGTAAGTACTGGCCATAGTTACTACTGTAACTATGGTTCCAAGCCGTGT